ATTTATTAATGTATTGTTTATTTATTTATCCATTTATGATCTTGTTTGTTGGATTTTACTAAACTTAAATTGATTATCGTATTTATTATGACAAGTTACTGTTATATTTTATTATTTTTATATTGTTATTATATTTGTACATATCATTTACTCCTGTGACATCGTCGAAACTAATCAATTCAATATGGGCCTGATTTCATTTTGCTTGAATCTTATTTTTGTGTTTTTTGTCATTTTCCAAGAGCACAATATTGTAAAGAAACCTCTATATTTATACTAGGGATCAAATATATCAATTTTTGTAACGAGGTGTAATAGTGCCCCGCCACTTCCCCTGAAACTTAAAGGAATGTGTTCTATGTAAATTTATTACAAATAATTCAAATCTAATCTAAACAAAAAAGGGTAATTTTATTGTTTTGCCCAGTGTATAAGGGCCTCGATGCAATCCCAAACGTCTGTGGACGTCAGATCTCTACATTTTTATTTGGAAAAATTACAAAAAATTTCGGTATTTTTAAAATACTTCGACCAATATACAGCAAACTTTACCGGGCTTATAAAGCTTATCAACTTCACTAATGCCGCAAATTTGGCTTCCATAAATAAATCTAGACTATAAAATAGATAAATTTCCTATGTATAAATATAGATATATATGTATATGTCGAAATGTAAAATAAAACGCAAGAGGATTTTCTTGGTTTCATTCTTATTTTTCTTACTTACAATGGCTAAATATGTAAAAAAAAATTAAAAAGAAGAATCTTTGAACAATCGTAATAACATCGTAATAACTTTGAATTTGGATAATATCTAGAGGAGTTACGGAATTTAATTGGAAAACCTGGCATCTGAGACGAAAAGCAATTGTCCCAGCGAATCCAGTTCAAAAATGAAACAAAAAAAAAACTCGAACGTAAGGGTGCTTTAAAGAAATGCTAACTTTTTTTTCCAAGAAATAAATATTTTTTCGCTAGATTTTTATTTTTATTTTTTAAGTGCTCATGCTAGTAAGTTAAAGTCCTGGGTTCTAATCCAGCGGTTCTGCATTCGAACCCCACCCCAAGAGTTGATATGAGATCTGAAGTTGCGAACGCTCGTACAAAAATAAACACATAAAAAAGGTGATCATCGTTTTTGCTCCTTGTAAAACTAACGAATTCAATTTTTTGGAAAATTAACAAAACATTTTTAGCACAATTTTTTTGGGACCAATTTCATTAGAAAATCACAAAATTGATGATAACTCTATTCACTATTTTTCGTGGTCCGCTTGACCAATTAATAACATTCAATTAATTAAGGTTTTAAGTTCAGATAAAAAAGTCAGTGTCACGAACGGGATTCGAACCCACGACCTTCGGCTTGATACACCGCTACTCTACCATTTGAGCTATCGTGACTTCGATCCCCTCGGGCACTAACTTCCCGAGTTTTTTATCTCAACTTAAGACCTTAATTAATTGAATGTTATTAATTGGTAAAGCGGACCACGAAAAATAGTGAATTTAATGAATTAAAATGAAGTATACTTCACTAAAGCTCATTTGTCGCCGAGAATCAAATAGATTACACGACATTTGAAAAATGGCAAAAAGGAGGGAAAATTCAAAAGGTGGGGTTGAGATGGGAAATTAGTGCCCGAGGGGATCGATGTCACGATGGCTCAAATGGTAGAGTTGCGGCGTATCAAGCCGAAGCAGTGTTGGACAAAAATTTGTCATGTCTAATGATTAATGATTGATCACTCAGACCGTTAGTCATGATTGGTAATAAGTGACTAATTTAGTCGTTAGTCGCCATATGTGATTGACGGCTAAATTAGTCATGACTAGTAATTAAATACGAGGTATGACTAATTTGGTCACAATATAGTTAGTCATGACTAAATTTTGATAAATAATGTTCAAATGGGTGCTCAAAATATGAAAAATACACTTCATCACTTTTAAAAAAATTTCTAACAGAAATTTATTTCATCAAAATTATAATCCTTCAACACCGTATTTAACAAAAATCAATCTTCCAATTATAAGTAAAACTCCGTTGTTATGAAAAGCCAAAAAATAATGATAATGATGATAATAATAATACTAAAATAAAATAATAAAATCCTGGAACAAGCTACGTTTTGAAAAGTAAATATGTTTACATAACCGATCAATGGAAAAAATATTTCTTTCAATTAAAATTTATTCCACTTAAAAGGAGAGATTTCTACATTATTTGGAAAATACACCATCTAGGGGTCTTGATTGTAATAAAATAGACATGTAGAATAATTATGTAACTTAGGTTTTCGTTTATGATAACCATTTTTGAAGGTTGGCCTTGAGCACGACTCTCATCTCAAAATTTTTATCCGGAGTCGGTTGGATTTTGGTAAGTCGGTCATTGTAGCCAGAGTTGGGCAAAATCAAACTAATTCAATCATGATTAAGAATTTTGATTGAAGTTTAATCATGATTGAATTAGTCATGAGTAAATTAATCATTGTATGATTTAGTCATACCTCATGATTGCATTAATTATGATTAAATCATATAATGATTAATTTACTCATGACTAATTCAATCATAGTTAAACTTCAATCAAAATTCTTAATCATGATTGAATTAGTTAGATTTTGCCCAACTCTGAGCCGAAGGTCGTGGGTTCGAATCCATCTCGTGACACTGACTTTTTTATCTCAACTTAAAACGTTATTTAATTGAATTGATGATAACTTTAACACATTTACAGACGTTTGGAAGCGTGTACAGGACATATAATCCCAATAACCTGGTCTGTACAAATCAACCGAAACCAGAGATATAAAACAAATCATTTGTTTCTCAGGTTCATTTTTATTTTATGATGCTATCATAACTACTTGATCAAGTCTAAAATGACAGAACTTTAGGTTTCTACTGGTCGTATAACGCTGAAATCGGATATAGTTCAGAGGACTTATGAATTTTTAAGGGACTTGCGAGGAAAAAGAATGCCCTCGACAAATCCAACCCAAAAATGTTTATTTATTGATTGCTATAAAAGCTCGTATTCAACAGTTTCAAAGGGTGCATAACACGAACCTGAAATGCCTTATTTGATAAGACTATTATTCAAAAAGAAAAAAATTTCCTCCGCCTAATCCAGCACAAAAACAGGTAAATTTTCCGTATCTATTCGGAATTTTCGAATCGGAGAAAATTCGTATTTAAGGATCAATGTCAATTTTTTAAAATAGCATTTACGACCTATTTTACTGAAATCTATTCGTCGATGTTTTTGCTAGGCTAAGAATATGTGCAGGATCTTCTAAATGAGGGGAAATACAATACAAAAAAAGTTCCGAAAACCAACAGAAACTTCCATAAACGTACGTCAAAATTTTTTCAAAAAAAGACGTATATCCATTGAGCACAATTTAACGCTTATAAATAAGAATGTTTAATTAATCAAAATAGAAAATTTTGTGCAGGATCAGACAAGGGGGGGGGGATTTTTGTTTCTGGGATGTCCGGTCTTTCCCTTAAAAATTCATGACTCGTCAGAATTTTATTGAAATTGAAAGTTTTACAACCGATGGAAAACTGGATCATTCTACTTTTAGTCGATGCGAATAAATTTTGTTAAACTAGGGTGAATTAAGAGAAATTAAGCTTTCTAAATCTTGTAATAACAAAGAATTAGGATGAAATCCAGATAGGTTATGAATTTTGAATAGAACAACAAAATGCGATTTATTCGTTTAAAAATATCTGTTTCTCTAGTAAATACGATATAATTTTTAAAAGAATCAATTTTGTACGTCTTCAGCATCTATTTTTTGCTTGTTGAATGAAAAGATGAACAAAATCACATATGTAGTTTCTTCAAAACAAATCGTCTTCTACAAAAATAGCCTATTACAAAAACCATCAGCTTATCCTTTTATCGTTAAATTAAAAAGTTAAAAGTCAAATATTCATTTAATAACAGATAAAACATACGAAACACAAAGTAGGATGAAGCGGGCAAATAATTTTTCTCCGCTTTGCCCTTTTTTTTATTGGCTTATATCAACTGAACTCCATACATATATGCAAATACACATATGTGCAGCATATTATTAATCAATCTCTTTGGATTTTGGCAGTCCGGAGTCAGATTGTCTTGTCCGTCCCGCCGATATGATCCAGGGGTTGCCAACAACTAGGTAATTTCAGCCCCTAACGCAGATTTTAAATATTTTAAATACTTACTCATTCTTAAATACTTTCTTTTCTAGTTATATACAATCACTCACGTAGAGTGGTGGAATACTACATATTCATTCATCACCTTTTAAATCTACTTGCATACACATTCACGCTTGTAAATACACTCACTCTCAATACACACAAAAGAGAACAGAAAAAGTATCAGTACTTTATTTAAAAAAGAAGAAGCATGTTTTATCAAAAATCTGATCAGGGGACCCAAAAGCTACAAGCTCTCCATATAGAGCCAAGAAATGACATTCTTTAATTAAGTGGGACGCAACGAGCAACCTTTCTGTTTTATTTAATTTATTCTCCTGGTTATTACAGATAATATTATTGACTGTGCATAACCTGAATAATACCAATATATGGTTTGTAAATATGTAATAAATCTAGCATTATTTAATAAATCGTTAGGCAAAAAAATATATATATTTACACTAATTTTTTTAACCTTACGGTCAGTCAGATCAGGATTATCAGAAACGAACAGACAACAAATTAAAAAAAATCCATATTAATAATGCATTTTAGTTAATAGTGTCCAACAAAAACAAAACATTTGTATAAACTAAATGAAATAGATTAATTTCTTTTCAGTTTAACATATTTACTATATTTATTATTTGAAATTTTAATGTAAAAGGCCCCGTGACACCAGATTTTGGTTTGTTAATATAAAATTAAAAACCAAACCTGTAAGTTATTTGGGAATTTTAGTATTAAGAAAAACTATTAAACTTAACACCAAATAAACTAAAATTTACGAACCACTTGCTGCTTTAAGCGCATCGTAGATGTCCTCCAAATATCTGTAATTTGGGATTGATATATCTTTCGGTAAGCAGTTCCTAAAACAGATTGAGTACACTTGTTAGATAAAATTTGTTGAGGGATTAGTTTAATAATGGATAGTACGAAACATCTACCGTTAAAAACTTAAGTTTATAGTATATATTAAAACACACTTAAATTTAACGGAAATCAAACTAAAAAAGTCGCCCTGAAATATAAAAACAGCCTTTACTATTGCATAATTTTTTTTTCGTTTTGTTATTATGTTACGATAGCAAAGTAGACGTGTAAACCTGTGGTTACACTCCTAAACAAAACTATTGTAACTAGGAATATTGTATGGAAGGATTAAGGATTAAAGGTGTTCTATTAGGTGTTTAGGAAATAATCAAAAGATTTTATGGATGCGTCTATATCGACTTCTTGTAGTTTCGTGGACGAATGAGATCTAAAGTTCTGTTTACGAAGTAGAATGATTAGGCAATGGCTTAAATGATTTTTTAACCCAGAACGTTTAAACAACTGGATTTGTCTGAGGTTGGAACGCATTGTTGAACCCAAAAATTCAATTTCGTCCTTGTAGTAGATGGGAGTAGAGGTGTTTATTTGCTGGGATGTGGTTTCGATCAGCTTTAATTTCTAAGACCATTCTGACAACGAGTTCTGAAAGTTTCTGAAGACCACTGATTTGGTCGGTCGAAAAGATGGCTGTATCGTCTGAATACGTAAGTACTGTATCGGGATTGCCAGAAAACCTGCACTGTATACGGAAAAGAGAATGGGGCCTTGAGAGATGCCTTGCAGAACTCACTCCCCCTTCTTAACAGAAAATAATATAAAGTTTTGTGAGGACAAAAATCGTCAGCTAATAATTGAAATTATAAATTTTACTTTGAACTCAATTCATTAAAAAAGTATAAAATGCAACAGGATGTAGCATATTGGGCTTTAAAATTAGTGTTAACTTTTAGTTCAGTATTTTTATCTCCATTTTTTTTTAAATTGCTTTAATTTTACCTGTATATAATGGAATTTTTATGCAGGAGTATATATAGATGAGAGCCTGAAACCTCTTATTTTGTACATGTACAAATGTAGTACGTATGAATACTGAATCCGAATTGATAAGAAACCAGTGCATATTGAAAAAAGGGACCAAAGTGTTAGGGGACATCAGCTTCGGCCTAGTGGTTCGTACCACAATATGATCTGATTATTTCTTGAAAGCATCTGTCGGACAAAATTTTTAGTATTAGGTAACAACTGTAGCCCTGGATATTTCAGAGAAAGCCACGTGGACATACTCAATCGAAACAAGGTAACACGCCTAGAAAAACACAAAAGTACCTTGTGATTAATCAATACGATGTTTTTCTTGTGGTACTGTTTTCTGAGCCCGAACTGGCGGGATGGAAACACACGGTCGATTTCAAAAGTGTTTTAGGAGGGTTTTTCAAGTCATGGTAAATAACTGATGGCATGATGATAGAAAGTTTCTGAAATTTTTAGGAAATGTGAGAGACGGCTTTACGAACTGAACCAGGTCGGCGAGGGCCTGACCAAGTCTCGCGGAGTACCTTCCACCCGAAATTACCTGCGGGGGGCTTGTGTTACGATCTGCGGATCCGTCAAACCACGAAAAAATAATAAATAGGGACGATGAGTGCCTGCTAGTGCCTCTGTGGGTTCGGATACAAGGAGGCCGTCATGATCTCCGTATGGATGAACGACGAACAACCCGGATAATCGCCAGTAATTATTGTGAGGTACATGTACTAGATCTTGTAGAGGCGTATGAATCCGCAGATGCTCTAAGCCACGATGGCGACCTAAAAAAAAGCGCAGTACATGGTATGAAAAGATAAACTCCGAGAGCAGCATCGGAAGCCATATTTCAGGGCGAAAGGTGTTGTAATCCGAACGGAAGGAGTGCTCCTGACCATGTCGTATGTCACCTTACGGTCGTCATTGGGCATCGCATGCGGCCGTATGCACAGGAACAGAAGTTTTACGCCTCCAGTCGGACATGAGCGGGCATGTGAGTTGCCTCGCTGGTCTTTGACCAACTGGCGCGGGCTAACATAAGTTATGTTATGATGGACCACAAAGACCGACAAAATAAAAACGGTTTTAAACAATCAGCCCTACTAAACTCACTGTATATAGAGAAAAAATAGAAAATGGGTTGATAGTTGATAATTTCCTGGGTTGTAAGGAAAATTTTTGCTTTTTAAGAATTTTTTCAAGGATATTTCTGGTGATAACATCTTTTTGGGGGTTCAAAAATCTTAAAAAAGAGAGCTTTGGTAGTGTGTACATTGTAGTGCACTTTTGGCTAAAAATTTTTTAAATAAATAAATAAAATGCCAATTCGACAAAAAAGGTAACACCATCAAATTTCAATATTTTTTAAGAGTAATAATTAGAAATCGTTACTGTTTCCAATGCGAATTGTAGATAAAGCATTCATTCATATTACTGTAAATATACTCATGATGCAAGAATTTAAATTGACAAAATTTGTTCATGTTTAGAATGATTTCTTTTCAAAGTGAGCCTTCCGTCCACAAGTAATAGAAAATATTATTTTCACGCAAACAACTTACTCTGTACTTTTATTATTTTCTAGAATCAACTTTTAGTCATATCAGATTATTTGTAATTGTTAAATCATTTTTTTTTAAATTTAAAACTCTATGAATCATATTAAAAACCTCAGCCTTGATAACGGTGTAAAAATTTGCGTCATCGTTCAACCTTTGGAATTGAATCATAGAACAACTATTTCCAACCTGCGATAAAGAAACAATAAAGATTTTCGAACCAAGGTACAATTTTTTCTAAAAGTATAAAAAAAAATCCACTACTTTATTTCACGAGGAATGCCCAACTAGATCAGGAAGTAAAAGAATATCCCGAAAAATAATTTATTTGATAAAACATCTTACCATTTGTTTTATTTTACTAAAGAAAATATTGGGGAAAAAAACTTTTTAGCTGAAAGTTCCGTTTTCGCAAAGTAAAGTTTCTACTTTATAGGAAGTCGCTTAGTATCAAGTCCCAACCTTTCAGCGATGCTAAACAATAACAAAAAAGAAAATATTTTAAATATTTTATTTCTTTAGCAATGAATGAGCATATAGGAAGTGTTGATTTGATCAGTTTTGTTTTTATGAAAGTTTAATTATCGCGGAGTAAAAGTTCTATTTTACAGGAAGTCGCGATATCAAGTTCCAACCTTTCAGCTATGCTGAATAATAACAAAAAAGAAAATATTTCAAGTATTAATACTTCCTATATGCTCAAGCATTCGTAATAAAACTTACAATAATTTCATTAGTAATGCTGGACCATGTATGAAGTTTTAATTTGTTCAGTTTGTTTTAACTGAAAATTCAATTATCGCGTAGTAAACTGTACTTAAAAGGAAGTCTCCTAATATCAAGTCCAAACCTTTCAGCGATTCTAAATAATATCGGAAAATTTTTTTACCTTTTTAAGTTTTATTACGAATGCTTGAGCACATAGGAAGCATTAATTTGTTCAGCTTTTTACTGAAAATTCATTTTTCGCGGAGTAAAATTTCAACTTTATAAGAAGTTGGGTAATATCAAGTCTCGACCCTACAGCGATGCTAAATAATAACAAAAAATAAAACAATTAATTTTTGTTAGGAATGCGTAAGCATACAGGAGGTATGTAATTCATCAGTTTTTTATAAGTTCGGTTTTCGCGGTATTCAGGTTCTACTATCCCTAAGTCCCGACCTTAAAGCGATACTAAATAATAACTCAATTAGATTTCGTGGCCCGATTGACCAAGTAACATCTTTCAATTAATTAATCTTTATGTAATGTATTGGTTGAGATAAAAAGTCAGTGTCACGAGCGGGATTCGAACCCACGACCTTCGGCTAAATACGTCGCTGCTCTTCCATTTGAGCTATCGTGACTTCGATCCAATCGGACACTCTGACTCCATCTCAACCGCACCTTTCGAATTTTTCCTCCTTTTTGCCATTTTTCAAATGTTGTGTAATCTATTCGATTTTTAGCGAGAAATGAAATGACCACGGAAAGCTTTAGTGAAAATATACTTCATTTTTACATATTGAATCCATTAGATTTCGTGGTCCGATTAAATGACTCTCCTGGCCTTTAAATACAATTTTTTACTTATATCTATGTTTCTTGTATGAAGTCTTGACCTCCAGCAGACAGCGATAAGCATTAATGTTTATAAAAATATTTCTTAATTTTTTCTTCAATAAAGCATTATTATTTATACCTTTTTATAAGATGCGTGAGCTGAAAGTTCATTAGGATACTTAAAACGTCATAACGAAGGAGCATAATGACTTGAGAAAGTCAGTCTAGTCTTATGATAATGCCGTTTAAAAAATTAATCTATTTTCTTTGCGTTATTTTCCATTAAAAAATTCAAACTTTCCCAGTTCAAAACAAAATCGATTAGCCACAAAAATAGACGGACAACACGTTTAAGTTTTGATATTGTAATCTTTTGAAAAATGTTATTTTTAAAGTCCGAACTATATTAATTTCTATGCACGGGTCTTAATTTGTCAGATGGCTTTCTAGGAGGATTGCCGCGTTTTCTCGACTGTGTTGACAAAAAGTCCATTATCGGATTTCCTTAGTAATTACTGAGCACACCTCCTGTGCTTGACAAAATATTTGTACAAAGGATATTGCCGCCCATTATCTTACACTCTATCTCATCCTTCTTGTTGATGTATTTAAATTGCATTTTACTGGAATTTATCTCGGGTAAATTTTTTTTCTGAACGGGCTTTAAAACTGTTTAATGTTTATCATTTCAATAATGGCTCGCTGATTAGGGGGCGGTGTTTCGCTTAGAAGAAAAAAAAATGAAATTATAATAAGCATTTTCGTTGTTCTCTGGCTTTGATTATACCTATGAATAAACCCTTTGGGGAAAAATTAGTCAAACGCGTCGTTCTGCTTCAATCACGATATACGGTTGGCCGGTTTTTGATCGGATTTACTTCAGATAATTCGCTCTACTAATTGAGTCG